ATCATAATAATAATTCCTTTTCAAACCAATTAAAGTTAAATATTTGTCGCGGGCAATAATAAACTTAAAATGTGTGAGGTGACTTGAAGTGCAGGAGTTTAAAAGTTGACATTCGTTATTTGGTAGATAGAGCATTGTACTCGACTTGGGTTCTAACCTAAGAATATAACTATTTGAACTCCGGTGTGTTGCACAGTATCGCACGCATTTGAAGGCGTTTTATGTTCGTCCGACCGCGATCTACGGAGAAGAGATTCTTAATGTGTTGACTTTGAGTACTGTTGACACTGCATATATCCCATGCAAAATGGTAAGTAATTTTCATATTTTAGTGTTAAAAAGCCTAAAATGATATTTCGGGTTAAAATAAAGATTCAACTTCATTTGAAACAAATGTTGAGATCCTAAATTTTTTATGCCGAGAAGTTTCTTTTCCATGCCAAGGACAGTCCCCGTCAAAAAGCAACCGCCGACACCGAGTTGTGTAAAAATCTAAAGGAACCAAGATGGTGTTTTACGCCACATTGGCCGTTATCAAAAATTGTAGATTCTGAATTAAGGCGCCCCTTTGCCTTCCTTATTTTTTTCCCCCTATAAATTTACAATTGAACAAATTTACATACACATTCCTGAACCGCTTTAGTCTTTACAAATTTGTTTTTAACATGAAATAATCAAATATAACTTATGGTTCCTCTAAGATCTTATGACGCTGATGATATTACTTATTTTGCTAGCTTTAAATTGATATTGTGAAGGGTACATAAACGTTTAACTTTACAAGTCAAATGGAGGAAATTTTTGAAGATTAAAAAAAAAAAAAAAAATGCTTAATATGAAGCTTAGAGAAATTCATCAGCAAAATTAAATTCAATACTAATAAATCTGAAAATATAGTTGATTTCTGTGTACTAAACGTTTGCCTAACTCGCTACATACCCCTATTCCTCGTAAGAACACCTAGGCATTCCATTGGCATACGGAAGAGAAAAAGTATGCAAGTAGCGCAAAATGGAAGCTCAAAATGAAGAATTGAAAAAACACCGGCAACTGACGGATAAAAGCCCCGAGGTGGGGAAAGAGAAAAGACAGATTGATTGATCGAAGAAGGATGATTGACCGACTTTTTTATTTAGTTAAACATGAAAAATACCAGGATGATAAACGAAGCAAGGTGAATAAGTAGCATCTCGGCATAACCTTTTCAAAAAGGAGGAAAGTAAAATAAAAATAATTGATTCTAGAAAAAAAAATGGCCAAAACGCAATTTACGGCGGAAATTTTATTCCACCACATGACCACTACGCTCTGAGTGAGTTATTCTTTCCAAATCAATATTCAAATGCTTAATGCAGCATTTTCACACGTTCACATATCAGTCAAATTTTGGTCTGAAACTATTTGAAAGGCATATCATCTTTCTAAAGTATTGATGGAAACAAACAGAGATCCTAAGAGTATTCCGACAACTGCGGATTTTTTACCTCCTCATTTACAACTTTTCCTCAAGAGCAGCATCAGGCTTCCAACTTTCATGGTGGCTTTCAAGATTCGGGCTGAGCAACGAGGTCAATTCAGTTTACCAAAAGCGGCCAGCTTGGCTTTATGGTCAGCCCGCCTGACTCTAAGTCCATTGCTAACACTTAGTTTCACCAAATAGGATCGCTATTGTCATTTTTTTCTATCACTTGGTCTATCCATTTCCATAATCAGTCGTCTATTGCCAACAAATAAGGGGACTCTTTATCTGTCTCTGAGGAGAACGTAGACTCCGTTTCAAACTATGCAAACAAATTCGTTTTCTATACTCGGCCGTGGATATTCAAGCGTAACATAAACAAACTGACTAGCAAGTGCAGAACGGCACATTTTGAATGAAAATAGTGAACTAGATTTTTAAGGCGTCAGGCTCTCGGTCTCCACGTCATCACTTGAAACAATGCTCGATGCAGCCGAACAAGGCGCGCGATGCCCCCCTCCCACCACCTCACCCCCTTCCTAATAGCAATTGATGTTTCCGCGTATGATGAGCCCGACAGAGCGAGCCGGGCTGTTTATTTTGTTGATGCGGGGAAAAGTTGGTCGGCTCCAACTCTGATGAATAAACGCAACCGCAACCGCGCAACTTCGGCCAAGTTTCGAAAAATAATGAATGAAAAATTAATTAAAATCTCCGACTCATCAGCGGAGCGTGATGGAAAGAGCTTCTACTGACTTCCAGAGCAGAGGTCTCTGTCTTGTGTTCCATCTATTGAAAATCTACTTATATACGATGCATGTCTCTCAGGAAGAAACGAGCTGTTCGGTCGGGCGACAGAAAAGTTGTAAATTAAGCATAAGCAGACTGGACTGGCGAATTTACGGTATACTGGGCATGCAACTCGGCCGCACAAAACGCCTTCAATCTTGTGGGACATTACCGGGGGTCACTTTGAAGGCTGAATAGTTCCTGAATAGAGAGCTAAATAGAATTCTACATTTATTTATCAGTTCGCACTCCACTTGGTACAGATTTCTCCAAACCTTCCTCCGTCTTGCTGACCATTCAATGATACAAAACCATGTATATGTTAGCGTTAAAATATGTAATCCGTTAATGTGTACATTAACTAGTTAAAGTATGCATTAACTGAGACGACCAGTTAAAGTGTAAAATTTTCGTGGGTTGCACACTTTAACTAGTTATTCTATAGAATACCGGGCGGCTCGCAGGTAAAGTGTGAAAGTCACAATTGAATCAAGCCAAATTATCAAAACAAAAACAAACGGCTATTTATGATGCACGAACTGAATGTCCGTTATAAAAACATTACTCAAGCCCAAGTTAAAATTTTTTAGCCTTTAGTGAAACCTATCAGGTAAAGAAGAACGTCATGAAAAGGGGCATTGTTGTAAAACCTATAATTTTTCCCCACGTAAATAGTCGCTGACAGCTAGATTTGATTGATTTGCAGTCGCAGCCCGATGGTGAATTCAAATTTATTTTAAATTATCAAGATCATCTATCGAAATTCGTCAGTTTGCTGAGTTTGTCAGTCAGCTGAGAGGAACACTCAGAGACGTTTTCAAGGAATGACTTTTAGTGTTATTCTCTTTATAAAATTTCTGCAGTTTCACCGTTGATCTGTTGTAGCAAGTAAGTAAATTTTTAGAAGTATAGCCTAGAGGGCCAGAAATATACAAGTCTGATAATATTATGCACAGATACATGATGTATTGTAATGTTTTTGTTTCTTTAGTCGCCAAACTACCTTTGTGTCGCCGGTCAAAATAGAAAAACCTACAAAGAAACAAATGCATGAACAGAATGAGTAGAAAATTGGTCATTTGATGAACCTGAGTGAATATTTCAAGTACATAAATCGCTGTCGATACACCTTAAAAAGCAACAAATAGCACTAGTGTGACAGAACTATTGTGAATTGAGTAGACGTTGCAGACTTATATTTACAATAGTATTGGACACGCAACGCGGCCACACAAAATGCCTTCACTTTCGTTGGATACCACCGCGGGTTACCGTGAAGGTCGAATAGTTGCATTCCACATTTTAGTATTACGGCTTCACTCGGAACAGATTTCTAATTCCTTCTGCCCACTGAGCGATACAAAGTTACTTGTAATGGGGAGAGCAAGATAAACTCTCCGGTTAATTTGCGTTTTTTTCTTCTTTAAACTTTCTCGTTATTTTTAACAGAACTCAACAGTCCGCATGTTGCAACAAATTTTCATGGAACAGAAGCGTATCTGCTGAAGCAGACTCTCTTCGCCCCTAATCTCTGAAAATTGGAACTGCCTAGAGCATGGATGTGCCTAACGCCCTGAAATCCAAGGACAATAAATACAAAGTCCAAAGATAGCTGTAGACCCTAACGGAAAATGGGTCAAACAGCCAGTCAAAAAATACCTTAAAACGTTCGAAAAAGATAAATATTCCCACTTGGGAGCTTACGTGGCTCATATCGATGGCTAACAGTGGCGTGGCGTGCTTTGCGATATATCGATTGATCTACCATTTAAACCTATAAAAAAGGAAATGATTATTAGGGTGTTTGCAGCGAACACCCTAATAATCGATTCATTACCACGGCTCAAATGGGTATCGATAATCGATCATTCACGCCTCGCCACTGACGGCCAAAGTGCAAATTCACGCACATCCGTTTGCATCGTCGCGGTGTGGACTTTCTGTCATACTTAATGCCCTTTCCCCTAAAAATACTATTGTTGGCAAGATATATTCCAAAAAAAAATACCATTTAATTGACAAGGCATTCTATTCACTAACTTAACTGACGGATTAAAGGATTTTATCATGGTTTAATTTAGGGTTAAGCTAAATTAAGTAGTCTCATTGACGCATTTTTTTCCATTTTATTTGTCTGTTTATACATTTGTGGACGAATCAAGTTTTTATTATCATTGTACCTTATCTTTTCCTTGAAAACTCAACGTAATTTCTCAAAAACCTCGATTTTTTATCTTTGATGAAAGAAAATTCTATAAAAATCTCAAGAAATAAAGTTGACTTGATCCTCTTGAAAAAAATATAATAGAAACGGAATTTTTAAAACTCCGCAGTGGAGGTACGTGGTTTCGCACTCGGGGCATTGCGACGCCGTAGAAACATGAGCGGAACTAGGGGAGTAATCAGTAAGAGGGCAGGCCTCTAAGCCCCCCAACAAGAATAAAAGTCAGGAAAGTGCAAGGAAAAGTAATAAATAGATCTTAACGTCAAAGGCGCAAGAAAAGGGATCTACCCGCGGAGAAAGGAGGGACGAAATGACCGGAGCGAAATTACGGCGGAAAAGTTTAACGTTTAATACGGTAGAGCGATAAAGGGGGCAATACTGCACGTAGGATGAGGAAGAGGGAGGGGGGAGAGGGGGGTTGGAAAAATCCCCGGAAGAAACTTTAATGGTTGGAGTCGGGGTCGGGGCTTGGCGGCGATAAATCGGCGGGAAATTGACAACGGGCCGTTGGGTCGTTTGGTGTTGCAGGTGTCCTGGGTGCGGCACAGGGACATTCACTTGCTCACGGTGGGGCGCTACACGTACACGAGCGACCAGCGCTTCTCGGCCGTTTACTCGCCGCACACCGAGGACTGGACGCTCAAGATCCTCTACTCGCAGCGCAACGACTCCGGCGTCTACGAGTGCCAGGTCTCCACCACACCACCTATCGGCACCTCCATGCATCTCTCCGTCGTCGGTGAGTACACATCATTCCCATTCCACGCCCCAAAAAGGAACCAAGAGCATTCCAATCTTCCTAGCAGACAGTCCCTTTATACTGAGAGTAAAGACAATGTGAGTCCATCTCTGATTGGTTCCCGTATTTTAGGCCTTCACAGTGTCACAAACGGGAATAAAGATTACACTTTCACCGATAGCAAAGATTATAACCTGGGATGGACCGGGACATTGGGGGTACGGCAAGGAACAAATGGAATGAGAGAGGGAACGGAGATAGGAATTCGGGAATGGGTTGATCAAAGATTACATAAAACGTCCGATTTGTGTCATCTTTATTCCCGTTTGTGAGATCCATGAGCTGCGTTGTCTTAACTCTCTCTAAGAAGGAACTCTATTCCTAGCATTCTGCAACTCACATTCCTCCCAATAAAATTACTCAAATCCTCCCAAAAATTAAATGTACAAAGCTAATTTTCCTCTTGAATTCACAATTTATTGGGAGTGGGTATGGGCAAAACTTGTTTGGACCATCAGTTCATATTTGCAAGGTAAAGACAGTTGCACAATCTTAGCGACACTGGAATGCTCTTGGTTCCTTTTTGCAAAATGCAATCCATTTCACATTTATTCTATGGACCAGGGCCGGATTAAGGGGGTGGCCAAATGGGCCGCGGCCCATGGCGGCAAATTTTGCAATTTTTCTAAATGTAGGTATAAAAAAAATCGGATTCAGAATAAAAAATTATCGATAAGAAAAGGAAACAAAATCTCTTTTTCCTGAGAGTATAGTAATTTCTAATTTTGTCCTTTTTCGGTGATACAAGAGACAGCATCTTTAAATAGTCGAGTTAAGAGAGGAACTAAACACGCAATTTCGCCTGGAGCTCAGCGCAGAGAGGAATGATGACGAGGACTTGAGATGAAAAGGACAAGCCCTCGGCGCGGCGGTCAGCATGTAACACATATTAGCGCCTACAAGACTGCATGAATACTTCACCCATTGCGCCAAACACAGTGCGGTCACGCGGTCAGGAGCGGTTGTCATGAAACGCATAGCGCCTACAAGACTGCAGGAATACTTCACGCATTGCGCCAAACACAGTGCGATCAGCGCGGCGCAGCGGCAGAAGTTAAAATTATTTAACTGCATTTATGTTTGTTCTCTCATAGTTTTATGGTTCATTTCTTATAAATGGAGGATCTTGTCCACACAAAGATAGGTTTACGGAACATAACTTTCGTCAAGTTCCGTGAAATTTTGCTAGTAGTGTTGACAGGGCTTTCGCAAAAAATGTATCCAACACGTGTAGGTAAACGCGTCTTATGCACTCCTCTTCCTCCGGCACGTTCACTTGACGGTTTTTATTAAAGTTTCAATTCGAATGAGAAGGGGGCGGCAAAATGCAGGCGGCCCATGGGCGGCAAGTAGGTAAATCCGGCCCTGCTATGGACGCGTTGTTAAAGTCTACATTACGAACGATGAGTTATCCGATGCTTCGCTGAGCCAAGCGAAAGTGTCTTGTTAACGAAGTGAACGTTTTTCGGAGTTATAACCAATGACCTGTCATTTTGGAAATAAAAGCCGCCATCTTGTCAGCGAAACTGGTAAGCAGTGAGAAGCGAAGGTCCGAGACCCGCTGAGTCGCTTACCAATTCCGCTGACAAGATGGGGGCTTTTGTTTACTAACAATTTTACGTCATCGCTAAGCGGATGATTAAATATGGCGGACTGATATGACGTCATTTCGCTGACTTCAAATATTAACAGCGCATCGTTTGACCTTGACAATTAATCAAATCGCACATTTTCTCAAATGTCTACACTGTTAAAAATCTAGGAGTAAAATTAGGTACCGGAGTCAATACAGCGCCCACAAATTCGGATGATATGAGTACGATGTGGAATTACCGCTCTTTTACCTAAGCGTCAGTCACTCCGCAAAGAAGTAAATTCCGCTCCTTCATAGTAACAGTGTTAGCCATTCCATGATGAATACGGATTCCGTTCCGCATTGATATCACTCGGGATTTTCGGCGCTCTACAAATGCCGGCGCAGACTTTCACTCAAAAATTTTTAACAGTAGGTATAGGCAAAGTGTCAAATCTTCATACTCAGATAGAAATTCTGACCCTGCTGCTAATTTTTGACAAAATATTTATCTATACTTCGTACTCATTACCTTCGTAGATAGGAATTATTTTTAAAAAATTCTATAATTGCTGTGATAATTTCTAGCTCAGGGATGAACACTAGCTCACTCTAAAAGATGCAGCATATTTAAATTGCAGAGTTTTAAACATTTTGATAGTTAAAAGTACATGAGGAGCATTTTGATAAGGAAAATAAGTACAACGACATTTTGTAATTTGATGAATTCTCACTTTTAAAATATTGAAAATTCGAGAGGTCTCTTTAAGATCCTACGAGACTTGATACATTTTTAAAACTTGACCATCTGCCTAGCCTTTTCATAAAATGACTGATTTGAGCATTTGCCTGTCACATTAACAAATCGTAGGATTTAAAAAAATACATTTCTCATTAGAGGCGCGAAGCGTCNGGGGGGGGGGGGGTTGTTAAGCTGGAAAGTGGTCATTATATTAATTTTGACTAAACTGCAAGTTCCGATGCCTTGTCCGACGTAAACGACCCGTTCTCAATCGTCATTCCTCATCCTCAAGCAACAAATCGATGCTGCTAGCGCGGTCTCTGCATGGGTCTCCCCGCCGGTATTTTTGTCGCAGCGGGGGAGGGGGTGGGGTGGGGTGGGAGAGGGCGAGGAGGAGGCTTGGTGGAAGGGGGCAGGATCTTATTTATTGACACGGAAATATTTATACAAGCCGCGGCCAATTTTATCTGGGTGACTCGTGGAGGAACGTTGGGTAAATCCTACTGCGGACGTCCCGGCTGCCGCGTGTAATCACCCGTGGATCCATGCGGCGTCCGCGTCCGTTGCCAATTCGCCTTATCGCCACCTCCGTTGCGCGTCCTTTGAGCCTTGTCCAAGAAACAGGCCCCTCTTCAGAGATAACACTCATCCTCCCCCGGGCCCCCCCCCCCCCCCGTCGCCTCCTTGACGCCCTAATGAGAACGTTTGTGCTCCACTAGAAGCGTCCTCCAGAAATTCCCACCTAATTTCTTCATTTTTCTTAACTCTTTTAAAGCAAATTAGGTGGGACCCACAAATGGGTTTTATCTACATCGGTCCTCCACCCTCAACGGAGACAATCAAGTTCCGAGATCCCGCCCTAAAAATATAAGCAGTGTAATCGAGTGAGACAAACGTTAAATTTGGAGATAAACGCTATTTTTCGACCGATGATGATTGATGAGTAACTTCTTGAGCAAAAAAGCAAACAAAACCTAATGATTGCTGGTGAATTTTGATGTGAGCATTATGTCTGGTCGGACAAAAAAATCATATATATAAGCTCTAAGACCTCCTAAATTTGCATATCTGGTAACGCTTAGTTCCAGCGTTCTACCAGGCCGATTTTCTTGATTTTTGCGGCTATCGACAGGCAAATGTCTCTAAATGAGCCCGCTCTGTTCCGTTTTTGAAAATATGACCCAGATTTTTTTACATTACGCGGTTAAGTTGCAAATTCTCCCATTTAAATAATGTAAATTTTTATTTTTTGTCATAGTTCGTTTGAACGGCGTTCTACCAGGCCGGTTTCCATAATTTTTGCAGTTATTGACAGGTGACAGTCCCTAGATGAGCCCGCTGTAATTAGAGTGTGGAATTGTAACCCAGATTTTTTTATAATTGAGTATACCTGGGACCTTAGAAAGGGGGCAAAATTTGAAATTCCCGCCATTTTTCATTGGCGTGAACTTCAAATGTTGCGGAAAATTGAACTAAACGGGAAATTGTGAATCTTGGTCTGTTAGTAGGTGAAGGTAAGTAAATCGAAGGTATGCTCCTTTACTACAGACTGTCCAAATGTAACGAAACGCTATCCGTTTCGTTTCAGTCTTGGCCTGAAGTTGGAAATAAATGACGGTTTTCTCATTTGATTCTTATTGGTCCAATCGTTCCCGGCCAGAGGGAGATTGGACAAATGAGAGTCGGGTATGAAAATCTTTCCTTTTTTTTTGATCGTCCTTTTGTTGAAGCGGGCCTAAGAGAGGGCGAAGCGCCCTCTGGGGGTTGGGCCACGTAGCGGCTAGGGGGCATAGCCCCTTAGTAAATAAATAAAAATGAAGAGGAAATAAACGCTCGATGAGCTGATGGCCAATGAAGCCAATTGAGCTGGCTGCCAATGAACTGAAATGCGATCTTGAAAACGACTAGCATTACGGAAGGCAGCGCGCCTTCAATTATGTAAATAGGCTGCACGGACATCCTAAGAGTTGGAATAGTTGCGTCCAGATGTTGGCATTAGCGAAGCGGCACGTGCCGCGTTGTGTGCGGCCATAATCTTCTAGGTTGTTCAAAATTAGTCCATGATACAATTTTCCTCATCCATTGGAAGTGGTGACAATGTATTTTTAACAGTCCAAGCAATGTTATCAGACGAGGCAAAAGTTACCTTTGGTGGTCAACGCCATTCTCGCCTAATAATGATGGAGCAGCTACTTATTGAGCAAAATATAAAATAAAATACACGTAATGACAACTGATGAATGTTGAGGTCAGAGCTTTGTCCGGCGAATTTTCACAAATTATGTTAGGGTTGCTTAACCAAATGCTTAACTCTTTGGTCGTGAGTTATTGATGTTTTTATTAGACCGCGTTTAGCAGGAGGGAACTTAAGCCACATCAGCTATTGCCAAATTTAACCGAGCAATTTATTATTTCGTAAAAGAACGTTTTTGCGTGTTTTCAGAACATTTTGAGGAATCCACTTCGTACTACACAGAAAATTCACTGAAATTTGCGGAAAAATCCGCTTTACCGTTTGCACATAAAAAATTGAATTGCCAAACTAAATTTGGCAATAGCTGATGTTGCTTGGTTCCTTCCTACTTAACGCATCCCAAATAATGTCTAAACTAAATGGACTTCCTT